ACATGTTAAATATAAAATAATTGAAACAAGTTTATTCATTATGTAACCATTTATATACCAAAATGAACTTAACAAAACATAGATTCTTATGACACTAAAGTTTATTCAAAATGACCTCCGTGAGTTTGAATACAGGCCTTCAATCTGCGCGGCCAGTCGTCTATTGCAGCACGAACGAGGTCCATGTCAATATCGGCGGGTGCCTTAATCAAGGATGTCTTGAGTGACTCCAAATTGGGATGAGGCTTTGAGCACGCCGTTTCCTCCAAGTGTTGCCATATCTTGTAACCTAACGGATACAAATCTGAACTGGAGGAGGGCCAGTCTTCATGCCAGATGAAGTCGATTTCTTCTTGTGTGCTCTTCGCTCTATGCGAATCTTGTTGGAATAGGCAGTGCCTGATATTGAACATGGTATGAGAAACAGGTTCCAAAAGGTTCGTCAGGACTGTATTTTGATACACAACTGCATTGAAACGGAAACAGAAACAGAAACTTTTTTATTCAATGTAGATTATAAATAATACTTATTGAAAGTCACTCTTTTGTATGAATACCACTGGTTCGAAAAAAAAACCTCTGTCCTGGGAAGAACCAGCAAGAAACCCAGCGGGACTTTTGTTTTAAATAACAGCTTACAATCATGTATGTTACACAAATTAACAACACAACAAATTAGAAATAGCTTGGTAGCGATCACCTCATTTCCAGGGGTTATTATCATCCATAAATTCCTTAATATTATAATAACCCTTTTTATACAAACTTAGTTTAATAAAGTTTTTGAACTTTGAGCAGGTCAAATTTTGTATATTTTCTGGAATTTTGTTGTAAAAGCGTATACATCGCCCCAAGTATGAATTACTGACTCGATGGAGCCAACAGACATAAGCTAGTAGTACCAGTTACTCGAACTGGTACTACTAGCTTGTGTCTGTTCCTAGTATTTACAGAATGAATATCACTTATTTTTGTAAAACTACTTTTATTTTTGTGTACGTACATCACATTTTCATAGATGTATTGGGAGGCCAAAGTTAATATATTAATTTCCTTAAATTTTTGTCGCAGCGACTCTTTAGGCTTTAAATCATAAATTGCTCTTATGGCCCTCTTCTGCAAAACAAATATAATTTCAGTGTCAGCTGCGTGTCCCCATAGCAAAATACCATACGACATTATGCTATGGAAGTAGCTGAAGTAAACTAGTCTAGCTGTTTCAACACTGGTTAAACTTCTAATCTTTTTTACAGCATATGCTGCAGAACTAAGTCTGCTTGCTAGTTTTGATATATGGGGGCTCCATTGAAGCTTCGCGTCTAGTGTGATTCCAAGAAAAATGGTGGTATCTACAAGACTCAGTTTCTCCCCATTTAAAATTACATTAGTATTTAATTGTTTGACATTTGGAGTCACGAATTTCATACATTTTGTTTTAGTGCCATTTAAATGCAAATTATTAACATCGAACCAATTTACTAATTTAGAGATAGCATTATTTACTTCGTCATATTTTAGTAACTGTCGACTTAATTTGAAAATTAAAGAAGTGTCATCTGCAAATAATACTATATCATGGTTATCCCCTACTATGTAGGGTAAGTCATTAATGTATACAAGAAACAGAAAGGGGCCGAGAATTGAGCCTTGAGGCACGCCCATTTGTACCATCGATCCGGAAGAGCTCATATTGTTAATGACAACTTTTTGCGTTCTCTTACTTAAATATGAAATAATTAATTTAAGGGCATCACTTCTTACACCGTAGTGTTGAAGTTTCCTGATTAATGTTTTATGGTGAACACAATCGGAGGCTTTGGATAGGTCACAAAATATACCCATGAATTCTCTTATATATATTTAATCTGCTCAACACCGGCATCAGTTGTCGAGCGACCCCTTGTGAAACCAAATTGATTTTTATGAAGTAAATTATTTATATTAAAGAAATTTAACATTTGATCAAGAATAATTTTTTCAAAAATCTTACTAAGTGTTGGTAGTACAGAAATAGGTATAAAATTGGGGGTCTAATGTACTACCAGATTTAAATAAAGGTATTACTTTACTATAATTCATTAAATCAGGAAACACACCAGATTCGATTCTAGTATTAAAAATAATAGCTAAATGAGGCGCGATTGTATGTATTATATACGCAATAACTTTAACGGAAATCCCCCACAGATCCGCAGTTTTCTTAACATCAATAGTTTTAAAATATTTTACAATATCTTTTGATGATACTTTATGAAATGCAAAATTCTTTGTACACGCATTTACATTTTGTTTAAGTAATGATTCGGCGACCGCAGGAGAAGAATTCAATGACTTAGTGGTTAATATCGGAATATCAGTAAAATATTTCTCAAAACCCATTGCAACGTCCTGATCTGATTCGGTTAATTTGTTACTAACACTTAACTGATAGTTTGAATTGCGAGAGTTGATCTTACCAGTTTCGCTATTATACTCCATGTCATTTTAATTTTATTAGAAGCCGTCTTAATTTTGTTGCTCAAATGCAAAGACTTGGCTGTGGAGCACACTCTTTTAAATATTTTTGAATATTTTTTCACATATTCCCTAAATTCGACGCTATGATTATATGACCTTTCATGGTAAATATCATATACTCGTAACCTATGTCTGCTCCTATTGACTCCTACTGTCGCCCAATCATTAAATGACTTCCGACTGTTCAAGGAGAATGTTTTAGAAGTAAAAGTATTATTAAATTCATTGCAAATAAGCTTAAATAATGTTCCATACAAAAAATTTGGATCATTTTGGTATGAAAGTGATGGAAGTTTTTTCACTATGTTACTTCTAAATTTCTCCAAGCGACGTGCATTTACTGGAACAAACACAACTTTCTCATCTACTTGCTTTTTTTGAACATAAGGTAACGAAACTACCTGTCCACAGTGATCAGAACTTAATTTTTGAATTATAAATTCATGCAACGGCTTCACATTTGTAAAAATGTTATCTATACATGTTGCACTAAATTGAGCAATACGCGTTGGCTCTAAAAATAAATTAAAAAGAGCATATGATTTAAACAATGATCTAAATTTAATATTGATTGAGGAAGCTTCTAGGAGATTGATATTAAAGTCTCCACATATTACAACTGATTTATTCTGTTTATTAAGCTTAGCAAAAACATCCCCCATAATTTTTTCAAAAGTATCGTATATAGAACATGGAGGTCTGTAGACGCTCACAACAATGAGGTGCTCAAACTCAACACATGCCATTTCTACAGTTCGCTCAACAGAGAGGCTCACAATATCTTTACGTTCTTTACATGACAATAATTTACTAGCTAATATTAAGGAGCCACCTCTTAAAACCGTTTCTCTATTGAAAGAACTGACCACCTGGTGATTACTGAAGTTAAACATTAAGTTATAAGCTTTTAACCAATGTTCAGTAATACATAAAATATGAATATTGTTGCTATTTAAGAACAACTCAATTTCTAGCTCTTTGCCTATCATGCCTTGTATATTTTGATGCACCAGGTGTAAACAATTTTCATTATTGCTCTGTGGAGTCATACAATTAAAGATTTGTAAGCTATATTCTAATTTATTTAAATTATTACAACTGCTAGAGATTACCTCTATTGTCTCATTTTCTAATTTAAATTACTTGGAACTGATTCCAAATTACATATTCAGTCATTATACTGCTCAAAAGGAGCAGATGTCTGTGTAGCCAAGTCCTTGGCTGAGTTAATATATAAACAATAAGATAGCACATTTGCTATCTGTCTTAAAATATAATTAGATAGGTAATACCTATCTCTAGTCAAAAATTTCTTAATTAAATTATTTATGTCTATTAAATTAAATTTATTATTCGTTTTTAGACCTTTCTCACAAAAATGTACCTCTGTTAAACCCCAATAAGAAACTCCCAACCATACCATGAGCGAGGATGGAAAATGACCTCGTTGGACACGCGGATTACGGTTGCTCGCTTCTTCACTACTGTGTGCGTACACCTTATCATTTTGTTTGTTGTAGCTCTCTTCTACGGTAAAAATTTTTTCATCCGAAAAAAGAATTTCCCGATATTTTTTTCCCGCATACCGCTTAAACAAAGCGCGGCATCTCTTCAGTCTCAGGTCCATTAGACGAGCATTCAAACGATGTCCTGTTTTTCTTCGATATTCCCGAAGCTCTAAGTCTTCATTTAACACCCTTTTCACCGTGGTTCTGCTTAACCCCATCTGAAGGGCCAACAGTTTCTGCTTACGTTTGGGATTTCTTTGAATTCGCGCCTTCACAGCTTTTATCACTGCTGGAGTCCTAACAGACCGAGGGCGACCACTTCTTGACCTGTCATCTACACTAGAGTCTTCATTGTATCCTTTGATGGTACGATAAACGAATCTTTTGGTTATATTCAAATTTTTCAGTATGTCAAAAATTTGAATTGGCGCGTAACCGCAACGATGCAACGCAATAACTGCAACACGGTCTTTTTTAAGCGTCCACTCCATATTTAAAAATGAGTAAAATTATAAAAAGTATACAGTTTTATTTTCATGAACAGTTCGAAATTCGAATTCAATAAACTTTTTTGTGGCCAGCATCCTAAAAGAAAAGTTTTTACTGTGTGACAACACTTATGACCTGACTAGGTATATCGAATCCTATATTTTAAAACAGTATCGATATATATCGCGTGATGAATATCGATATATCGATACATCGTCATCATTTGAATGATGTAAAGATAAGGTCCAAAATTTTATCTACTGACGGTTGGACGACGAAAATAAAGGATACAACATTTTAAAATATATCGAAATTGATACGAATTCGATACTCTAAAATAAATATCGATATGTCGATATATCGCAATTTAAAATATCGACGATATATATCGATATTGTTATAAAACAATATCGATATTTTTATTAAAAAATATGTTTTATTAAGAAATATCGATATTTTTTGCCCAAGCCAGCTGTAGAACGCAAGATGGCGAACCGATCGAATGCGTCTACGCATCGCAAGGTAAGAATAATCATTATTTATTATATTTTGTTGAATTTGTTTTCAAAAGTGGTCTAATTCGCATAGCTTATTATATATTCTATTCATAAGCGTTATTTTCCAGTATCTAAATGAATTGTAAGTGCATGTTATCTTTTGTGTTTTTCGAGTGTAACAAATATGATACATTGCCAGATGTCGAACATTCTAGATATTTTTGCTACGTATCAAATATGTGACATTGCCTAATTTGTATAGATACCACTCGGGTTTGATTCCTAGACCGCGGCTATAACTAGGCCACGATTGGCTGTTGTGGCCAAAATTTGGTCAAGATGTCAATTTTATTACAATTATTTCTTGTTTTCTTCCGCAGGTACTTTCTCACCTTATTATTCAACGACAAAGAAGAGCTCGGCAACTCGTAGCTCTTGTTCCGAAGACGAGAGCAAAATCAGATTTGGACGAAAGTGCATCATCTGAGGATGAATTTCAGTACTACACCCGTCCAACGCACTCCGACTGCATTTCACCACCTCCATCACTGCCATATTCAATAGAAAACCTAAATCTTCTCTGAGATGACGATATTGAGGTAAATCAAGCGGTTACTTCAACTTCTTTGGTACTACATCAACTGTCATCAATATCATCACCATCAATCAACCCTTGTTCGCCATCAATTTTATTGCCCAATCCATCAGCAACTGAGACTAGTTCTTGGTGTCCGGTACCGTTACCATTGTCACCATCTATACTGGCTACTCCCTCACAAGTACCTTCACCAAGAGTTAGTAACTTCAAGCGGCGTAATCAGTTACGGCCGCCGTCGCCATTATTTGTACCTTCTCCTTCAGCTACTCGTTCAAAGAGGCCTAGACTTGTCACAGTAAATCGCAGAGTAAAATCCTGTTTTTTGAATATTTAACATCTATTGAGCTGATACAATATTTACGCAATGATCGCGGCATTTTGCAACGGGTTTTATCCTAGCAAACAGGCTCCGAGGAGCGGAGAAAAAACTACCCACGGATAACAATCTTAAAAAAAAGTAGAGGATCTCATGCACAAGTCGTATCTCTTGTCAAATGGTTCGACAACAAATGTGTTATTGTTGCAAGTACTTTTGTGGATGTGTATTCTACTCAGACTGTTACAAGAAATAAGAAGGTAGAAAAGTGCCAGTGACTTGCCCCAATTTAATAAAAGCATATAGCACTAACATGGGCGGTGTTGATCTCGCCGACGTGTTGGTTGCTCTATATATCTATGTCTATATAGGCCATCGTAGGTATTTACTTATTTATTATTAAATATAAATAATTCCTCGCTTCTATATCGGCGTGATAAGAAAAGCCAGAATGGATACCAAAAAATGAAATTCACTAAAAAATTTAGGATGGAAATTTTTGAAAGCCTACGGAGTTATTAAATAACTGATATGAGAGATATCAGCAGGCAAATGAAATCAACCAATACTACACAGAAGCCAGCAGTTGAAAGACCGCCAGATGCTGTTCGATATGATCAAGTTGTTCCATTATAAAATTATAGTAACCAGCAGAGGAAGGTGGATGTATTGCACAAAAGGACAGTAGTGTAGTTGTACCACTTCTAGACCACCTGAGTCAGACGTGGTTCAACGACGTTCGTCGACATCCGATCCGCACCCCCTGCCCCGCCGTTACCATGGTCGCAACCGTAACCAGGATTAGCGGGACCGCCGGGGACTGGGGGCCGTCTTTTTGTAACTTTTATCATGGGGGGTATATTGCCATAGTTGCCACGTTTCGCGAGCGGGTTGGCAACCGCAGTTTTTTTGCTATTCATTTATATTCATCATCAGAAAGATGCTGCTGCCCATCCTCTGCCTCAGTTTCCCTCTGTCGCCTCTTACGACACCTACGGGAAGATATGGGGTAGTGAGTATTCTTATCTGCCCCTACACGGGAATAGCCAGTTTAGTATCAGAAACAAATTAACTGTTTACCATTGCATAAAAAGCAGATTTATAAAGAATTATACCATTGATAATATGTCAATTATGCCATAAAACTTTTATTGCATATGTAACAAAGTTTTATTATACATTGCGTAGAGCTTTAATGACAAGTGGTGATCTTTGGTCTTTTTATACTATGCCAAATATGAGAGTTATAGTACACTCGTGTCTTATGATTTACTAGAAAAATGACATCTCTATTGTAGTATATTTCACTCGATATGACGTCTTTGATCTTTACTTATTTCGTTCCCAATGGCAATAATCGACATCGATGTACTAGTTTTTGTTTAATTATTTATTTTTATAGTGAAAACTTCTTTAAAATCGTTGTGATTTTCAAAGTCGATGAAACGAAAAAAAGACTTTAAAAAGAGACAAATCTATGGAATGGAAAAACGGCAACAACCTTGTAAGAGAAAGAAGGTGGCAATGATATAGCTGCCTTTTTTTGTATCACGTAAAACGTCATACCTTCCGCTAGGAGTAATAGTGTTCTGTGGTCATACGCGTAAGAGTAAGAGTTCAACTACAAGAAGTTTTTGTTATTTTAGGAATCGCTCTATGCTAGTAATTACTCTGAGGTTTATAACTGACCTCTATATATACAAAATTTAATCAGTAAATTAAATTTAGTCAGTCCTTAGTAGTGTAGTTGTACCACTTCTAGACCACCTGACCAATCCATTTTTGTGTAGAATGCACGGTTCCGAAGATGTGTACATCAATTAGCTAATATCTAATTGATATCCGGTAAGGGCCTCCACCGTCATTAGCGTCCCATTGTTCCTATTTCTATTGTTCTATTGTTCCTTAATCACCTTCATTGCAGCGTGTGCGTCGACTATATCAGTGCTATTGTATTATAATTCTTTGTTTATACAACGCTAATCTGAATCATCAATAAAACACATTACATAATTTTGTTACAATTTTTATTTATAAAATACAAAATCTTATTAATTATTATCTATAAAATAGGAGCGAAACATCTCATCCACTAAAATATCGTTGTACAATGTGTTCCTTGTAAATATACTCGTAAAACTATGTATTGAACATCCTTGAAACTTATATAGTAAATACATTAAGCAATATTCGCCACAAACTGAAGTCCACTCATTCTGAATCCTATCAACATTCCAGTTCCATCTTTTACAATTCCTTTTTAAAAACTCTAGATGATATCGTACAGGTGATCGTCTATATGAATCAAAATATTGACCGACGTCATTCGTATCGATATATAAAGCTACCCAATGTGACCCTGGTTTATCATCTGTATCCAAATTACATATTATATACGTTGGTACGTGGGTATACATAGGCAGTCTATTAGCTGCATAAACATTATTTTCTAGACTGGGGTGAATCTTTTTCAGATGTTGTTGTACATCTAGTGTATCCATGATATTACTGCTATTAGTAGATTATTACAGTACCTAGCTACTCAATGAATAACATAGGAATGGTCAATTATAGTGATTTCTACATATTAAATTGCATTTTTGTGATATACAAATCGTACTTGAGTCATTGATCACCAAACAAAACACAATACGAAGAAATGTTGAGATAGGCAACGGAAATGTGAGATAAACTGGTTGACGCATAAAGTAATTATCAACTCATTACGGAAATACTTTAGATTAGAATTTTTACGTACTGGTGGTATATAAGACCAACAAACGCAGTCATCGAGTTAGTGTACGGTCGTTTGGCTACAGTGGATCTATCAATAGTACATTTGTGTTACTTCAATACACCAAAGGCTATGGATGTAAGTGTTTATTCTATTGACTAAATTACTTTTTTTCTGTTATTTTCATGTGTGTGTATTATTTTATTTAAATATTGTGTATGTATATGATTAAGCCGTGGTAACTCAGATGGTTAGCGCTAGCTGTAAATTTCACAGTACGCGACCCGGGTTCGATCCCCGCCAGCACCAATTAAATTGTTAATAGCAATTTTAAGTGCTTATTACCACGTGCTTGGTGGTGAAGGAAAACATCGTGAGGAAACCTGCATGTCTGAGAAAATTTCGAAGGCATGTGAAGTTCGCCAACACACATTGAGGGAGCGCGGCGGACATTTCCTTGCTCTAAAACCCTCTCAGAAATGAGAGGAGGCCTATGTTCAGCAGTGGACTTTAATAGGCTGTAACTTTAACTTTTTTAACTTTTATGATTAAGTGTTAACAAATTGATATTAACATGATAACTGTGTTGTTGCAGAAATCATTGAGCTTCGATGAAGATACCTATAAACAGTATTACTACTCGCCACTCTCCCCTCAAGAAGAGAGTGATAACCTCGTCATTAATAATAACACATGCGATGGTGGAAAAAGAAAATCGCAATCGATTGATCATTTTTTTGAAGCTGAATCAAAAATAAAAAAGAGGAAGCTGTTATCATCAACCGTAGCACGAGCCGCTAGAGATGGTGTATCATACATTTCTACTAATTCTGACGACGGAGACCAAGCGACGCATCTCATCAAAATTGAAATGTACGATATGAAGAAGCTATCCAAGATTCCAACTACTGATCATTGGAAACATGCTTCCACGAGAATTAAATATTACGTAAAGACTAATAAGGATAGCATCTACGACAATACAAACGCCCTCGTATACAATATAACAAAGACAATAGCAGAAAGTGAAAAAGTTAAAAAATACTTTTTTAACAATGACAGTCATTAGCTGATCATTAGTGAATGTGATTCTGTTTACTTCAATTACAGGAAGACAAGAGCGGAAGGAAGAGATGAGTGTGGCATACGTGTACAAAACACATCATTGAATAACAAAACTACAACACTGAGTGGAGAAGAAAACGAGAAGAGTATGCAGTACTCAAGAGCTGAATATCCATTCTTCAGTTCAAAATCTAGCCGTTTGCTTAGTTTCGAAAACTGGCCTCTAGTTATGCGACAGAAACCTGAAGATCTTGCCGAAGCTGGTTTCTTTTATACTGGCCATGCAGACGGGACCAAGTGTTTCCATTGTGGTGGTGGTTTAAAAGATTGGGAAGATGATGATGATCCTTGGCAGCAGCATGTTCAGTGGTTTAGTCAGTGTGCTTATGTAAAATTTCAACTCGAACAGTGTTTTGTATTAGATTAAATAGAAGATTTATAAAGAAATAAAAAAAATATATTGCATACAATTTGTTTTATTTAATTTTATAACGTTTCACATAGTTACATACACACAAAATGCATTACACATAACACATAAAATCTAACACACAACACATATTATAACCTTAACTACTATAGTCTACAGTAACATGTCTGTTTTTATCTATCTCAATCATATTATCAAACTCAGCATAAACTATACAGTTAATTGTTTGTATTAATGAGGATTCAAATCGTACTTCTATTCTTACACTACCATGCTTTATGAGATTCCAATGAGTTGATGAGTTAGCTGATAAATCAGGAGTTAAGTCAAATGCTAATAGACAGTAACCTTTGCCATACTGTTCACAAGAGATTCCATTTCCTTCATTAAGAAAGTGAATACCAGTTCCCGAGAATAGAGTATGATATGCTGATGTAAATATGCTATTATTAAAAGATGGTTGCAAAGCTTTTGAAGGTATTTGTTGACCATCAATATATAAGCTGAAAGAATTAATACCATAGTTTTCAAAGTTAAATGGATTTTTAGTAAGGGAACCATTAAATGCAGAATTGTTCACATATCCAATTATACATCTTTTCGGTACCTGTCCTAAAAATATATTATCAAGAGTTTTTCCTTGAACACCTGAAGGAATTGTTAAAACTTTTACTTCAGCTCGAGTAATAGGATATTTAGCAGTGGTAGAAGCTAAAACTTTTTGATGTGCGAGTAATACACTTGGATTAATTCGTGCTCGTCGCACAATAAGAGTTGCGTCCGTAATGCAAACTTTAAACTTTACATCGTTCGACCCAACAATTAAATTAAAACTCTCTCTTGATCGAACCAATTTAACACTCATTTCAACACCATTAATTAAAAATTTATCTTGGTTAAAAATGTCACCGTGAAGATGACCAATCATTTCTATTTCCTTACTTTCACTAATCAATTCCTGTCTTTTAACAAATCCTATGTTTTTACCATCTGTAGAATCCATTTTTCCTGCTGTATCCTCATACCAAAGACTACAAGTAAGATGAGATTGTTTAGCAGCAGGGGCATAGTTTAAAAGGGTTTCCATGTATGCTCGATATGCATAGGTATTATTAGGTGGTGATACAAGTTTTTGGTTTAAATAAACATCAAGTTGACTAAAAAGTGAATGCAGCCAATTATTTACAGGTGCTACTATTGTAGTAGATACCAAGTTAGTTGAATCTTGATTTAATACTTTTGCCTTTATGTGGAGTAATGTATGAGACAAATCTATGTAGTCATCGCCGGTCCCAGGAACTTGAAACTCGATAGGTCCATCATCACCAAGAGATGAAATTGGTTTATAATGAATCCACAATCCATTTTCAATGCTAGTTTGTGTAGACGGTAGTGCAAACAAATCCAATTCTGACTTAACGCACTCGCAAGAATGATTATGAAGGAAAGACATATTTAGTTTGAAAATATATCTTTGATATTTTTTGGTTTTAGACTAAGTTTTTTCGCAGCTTTCACTTTAGCAGTTAATGGTGGAATGAACGATGTCAATCGTTTTCTTTTAGTTTTATACCCAGATCCAGTCATGTTAAATTGATCAATTTTCTCATCAGCCTTTCGTTTTAAATTCGTACTAACTTGCTTTAGACGATCTTTTATTGAGGCTTCCATAGGACGGGCTTGAACCATATCCGATAAAAGTCCTACTCCAGCGCTTAATGCCTCCTTACCAATCACTCGAGCACCACTTGAAAGTAAAGGTAAAACTGATCTGAATAACCCCCCTAAGAAGCTCCCAATACCATGACCGCGTTGATATGGTGAACCCTTATAAATTGCTCCAACTCCTGATCCAGCTTGATGTGTATAATAATTTTCATATGGACATTTATGATGATCACGAAGAGAATTCATTATTATAATTTTCGGAAATGTAGTTTAATACACACGGTTCCAAACTGGAATGGTATTTTTTGTCCTGTACTCGATCTTATAACTATTTCCAACGTATCGAACTCTCTTCGCATAACAGGTAAGTAGTGAGGTTGAGAGAAAACGTGCATTTTATTTGCACCATAAATGTATTTTGTAGGATCTAATGAAATGACTCTTAATAAAGGAGTCATAACATCACCCACAATCTGAGGATCGATAATATCGCAATATAGAAATAGTTGAGATGGTAACCCTAAGTGTAAATTAGCAGGACACTTTCCAAAATTTCTCTCTAGGAGATTTTTATTTGGTTCATAACCTAGCTGTAAACTTAATTTGGGTGATAATGTTACGGATGTTATATTTTTATCCAATACCGAAATAGACACAAATTTTGTTATTTCATCATAGCGAAATTTCAAGTTCTCTCCGATACCATTTAACACTCTTAAAATATGCTCAACGTTATCATAGTTGGTAGCTGGAATATGTTTTTTGTAGTACACTGTGGATGGCTTATCTTCATTAGGCATTAACATAGATTTTGTAATGTATATAACATTTTCATGGTCTTGAACAGTAAACATGGTACATGGATATTGAAACTCGACAACTCCAACCGACCATTCACCTTCTAATTTTATAGCTTTTGGTAATTTCGTTGAAAAATTTGTGGTCTTGTTATCAGGAAAGTATTCCATTGAACTATTGCTGAGCAAAGTTAAATAGAAACTTTCTTTATTCATATTTCTTTTAAACTAGAAGCTAAAATCCAACTGTTAAATTTATCTGGATAACCTTTCCACTTCACTAATACTTCTTTTCTGTTACCTGAATAACGAGTGTCAATTATTTTATCTATTTTATGTTGTGAGGTGGGGTTGTAAGTGATTTTCTGTAATTCTCTTTCATAAAAAGTACCAATTATTGGTTCATTTTGTAAATCTGTTATTGTATAAACAACCCATGGAGATCTATCAATTATTGAAGATATAATAAATATTTCATCACTCCAATTTGATTCATATCCTTTTTGGAATACATGTTTATATTTAGTTATTCGAACATAATCACCCACATTGAAATTTGGTTTAGGATTTTCTAAAGAAAGTTTTTTTGACCGTCTGTCATAAAGATTAGTCCAAACTGTCATAATATTGTTGGAATTTACATCACATGGGCACATCTTAATACTAGAGTGAAAGCTGTGATTATAAGAGTATATTAAATCTTGTAAAACATCTATATATCTATAAGTATTATTATGAGTGAAATAACGCCACATTTTCATTTTTAGTGTTCTTTGAAATCGTTCAACAATACTGGCCTTAATGTCAGGATTGTTAGTGGTATAGTAATTAATCTTTTTGGATTTAAAGTATTTTTGTACATCTTTTGAAACAAATTCGGTACCTTTATCGGATTGTATGTGAGTAGGTGTTAAATTACTTTCAGTAAATATACTTTCAAAACATTCTTTAGTTGTTTCTGAGTTTTTCTTTTTCATTGGTCTTGCAAAAGCATATTTACTAAATACATCAATAATACAAAGTATATACTTGAAACCATCATTATATTGAGAATAAGTTCGCATATCACTTAAATCAGCTTGCCACAGTTCATTAATATTTGATAGAATGTACCTATTACGCGGGAATTTTTTTCGAATGGGTTTATGTAATGTGTATGTTTCTTGTGATTTTAACCATTCCTTTACTTGCTTTTTATTCATTTTACCCTTCATGGCTTTTGATAATTTATCAATACTACCAAAACCAGCGGGATTAGATGGATCATAATAAATCCTGTTAATTTCTTCTAGTACGGAGTCCATTTTTCCCACTCAAGTCCTTTACGTATTTTAGTTGTAGACTTTTTATCTCTACTGCACGGTGTAGAAAACTCTTGAACTTCAATCTCAGAGGGTTTGTTCAGATCTTTTGCTTGAAGTTGGTTAATAAACTCACATCTCCTTGGATTTCCAATATAAGTAAGTGGTACTTTAATATCTTTTAATGCTTCAGCAAATCTAACCCACCCTACCGGATCACTTCTTTTTAGGGGTCTTAGTGAATCATTTATTAAATCAACAATATTACTTCCAGGAATTTTTTCACTATCAATTATGACTGTACCTTCGTTATCCCAATGTATTTTACTTTTACTTGTTTCAACTAAGTTTAATAATAACTGCCCTTTTTTATGATAAGTTTTTGGTATTAAACTGAGTATTTGAGCTGGTGTGTAAAGTGGATTTTCATCATTTTCTTTACTTTTAATGGATCGATTCTCCTCCAGCAAAGATTCAATATCAACTGAAGTTTTTAGATCTCTATCTTTATTTTTAAAACCAATTTTTGACTCATTTGAATCTTCATTAGATGTATCAGAATAAATTGGTAATTTGAGTGGTTGACGATCCTCTTCGGTAAAATGAAGGTATCTTTGCAGTGTTTGTAAATATAATATCCATTTCTTTCGGTCTTCCGTCTTACTATTCATAATATTTTGCATTTCAATATCTAATCGAGATAAATTACTATTAACCTTATTTTCTTGTTTTAATTTTTCAATCAATCCAGGTTCGATAAGTATCATTTTCTTTGCATTTTCCATGTTAACTGGCTAGTCCACTCACTAATCCACTCAATATTGCACCTAATATTGTTGGTAAGAAAGCCCCTCCTTTTTGTATAATTATATTTTTTCTTAGTTTATGTTTACACTTACGTACTAGTTTACGGAGTATGTTTTTATGTTTATTCAATTTTTGTTTATCCTGATCTTTAAGAGGTACTTTTCCTTGTAAAACGTTATGAATACACTCACAAATACAGTTAATTTCTTCTTCATCACACGTTTTAAGTAATGCTCTTTGATATTTTGGTTTAAGCGTATGCAAAGCGGTTAGCAAATGTTTATACGTTGTGAGTCGACGATGCATCATTTAGCAATGATTTCAATTGTTTGATTCTTGGTGTATTTAAACTCTTTTGTGGGGACGTAGACTGTACAGAAACCATTAAATGGAAAGACATTTGTCTTGATACGACAAAAATCATTGGTATTCTGTTTTAAATCTACCATTAAATATCCATGTGCCTCTAGAGTTGCATCCCTGTAGGCATTTTCAATGAATTTTGGGTTATCTGGTGATACTTGTCTTGCTAAATATCTTATTTGAGTTTTATCTCGAGGGTTTTTAAAATATATTATATAACTTGAGTTTAAAGATATGTCTCTTTGTCCTTTACCCTGATGAAATAAATTTTGTGTTAGATAAAATACACTAAGATTCCTGTGATGACTACCTTTTGTAAATATATCCACAATTCTTCCATCGGACTCTCTCATTAGATCATCAATAATAACAAGATGTGGGTTTTCACCATCAAACATATTAAGATTTGGAATTCCTTGATGATGGTTAACATTTGGTAAATTATATAATGGTTGCGTTTCATCAAAGCACCATGTGATCTGATTAAAATCACAATTACATATTTCTGTAACTGATTTTATGAAATTTGTTACAAAATTTGACTTCCCACACCCACTTGGTCCTGCCACAATAGCAGTGAACGGATGGATAAAGTGAAACATAACACACGTCTAAAGTTCAAAGGGGTGAAATAAAAAATGAAAGTGTTGGTGTAAACAATTAATATATATTCCAAAAATTATATAAAACAGAATTATCTGTATACTATTTCTAACACAATTAGTACATCATAATTTTACAATTAACTCAACCTCAAATAAATAGAAACAACAATTAGTACATCATAATTTTACAATTAACTCAACCTCAAATAAATAGAAACAACAATTAACTTAAATTATTTACAATAAAACAATGTTTAAATATGTAATAAACTACGTCATATTATAGTATTATCATAATTTTACAATCAATATAAATTTTTCTTAAACGCAGACATAAAAGTAAAAACTATCAACACTTAACGCAGTTTATAATGACCCCAAGCTAATGTTTCAATATTATTATCTAAAATATGTCTCTTTGTGTCATTATATGATAAACCTATCTTATTTAATTTTTGTGTGAAAATTGTGTGTTTAATTGATTTAAATCTAAGCATACTATAATATTGCACTTTTTTATTAAATAGAGAAGACTTATAACTATTCATTGTCATCTTTTTAGTGATACATTTATTTACCCATTTTGCCTTGGCTATAGTCTTATTCTCTAAGTTAAAAGCGTACATTTTGGATCGTAAACCCACAAATTCTTTCATGATTTTACCATTATTTTCATCTTTAAAAAAACCTAATTTCTTTTTATTTAATTTTGGATATTCAAAAATATTATTTGTATCATAATCTGAGGTATCAAAGTATGATGAAAGGTCAGGTTTTATATCAGTGTAAAAATCATTTGTAAATATATGATATATTAAACTATCCGTATCTGTATACAATAATTTGATTTTACTAAACTTTTTAATCATATAGTTATAATGAAAATCATACATTAATGTTTTTGAAATATCT